ATATATATATATATATATATATATATATATATATATATTTGTTGTTTGTCTGTTGTTTGTTCAGCATTGAAAGGTGGAATGTTTCTCTGGGCATTCCAGATTCTGTATTTGTGGTCACTGACACGGTTCTGATGGAATTCGCAGGTGAGATGAGCTGAGGTGCCTGTACACCCGAAATAATTTCGTTTGGATTATTCAAATTTGTATCGTCATTTCATTTCTTTTACTTTTTGTTTTCTTTTTTTAATTTTTCTTGTTTTTTTCTTTTGTTTCGTTTCTCTTTTCTTTTGATTCATTTGCTTTCTTTTTTGTTTGAGCTGGATCATTTCGTCGTCTGATTGTTTTTCTTTTCTTTTATCCGGAGTTTCTGTCGTTTTGCTTGTTGGTTTTGGTTTCGTTTGTTTGAGGCTTCATTTGGCTTGGTTTGTCCGTGTTTCTTTTGTTGTTTCCTTGGTGTCGCCTTTGTTTTTTCGTTTCGTTTCTTCTTGCATTTACGGTTGTTTTTTGTGTTTATTTTCCCTTGTTTCCTTCACATTCATGTCATTTTTTTTATTTTGATCATTTTTCTTCCTTACGTTCTCTACAGGAGAGTTTCAAGCAATGCCCATTTTGGTGTTGGCCGCTCGCCTTTGCCCGCCGGGTTTGGAGTCGACGATTTACTCGGTGCTCCTCTCTGCATACAACTTGGGTCTGGGGTTAGGCTCGCTGGTTTCTGCAGGATTAACGGCTGTACGTCGATGCATCTATATATATGTTTTTATTTGTATGCATAATATATATATATATATATATGTATGTATATGTAATTATAATGCATGAGTATTTACATGTATATATATATATATATGCATATATGTATACAGTATATAATGGGTCTGTTAATATCAAATAAACATATGTAATTATGTTCATCACTGTATGTTGACACTGACTTGAAAGAACTGCTAGTTGTGTGTGTTGCAGGTGTTGCATGTACATTTTGTTTGTTTGTTTCATGGTTTACGTGTTTCATTTATTCGTTTATTCACGTTCGTTTTGTTTTTTGTTTTATTTTTCTATCAGGCCTTAGGAATTTCATCAACGAATTTCAAAGGGCTTTCTGCGTTAACTGCAATCTGCGCAATCTCGAATTTGCTGCCTCTCTGTCTTTTATGGTTAATACCCTCAACAGTGCGGGGCCCGCTGTCTCCCTCTCAACTCCGCATAGCAGGAATAAAAAGAAGACATAAGAACCCAGCGGAAGAAACAGATTCAACTGCAGCAGACTCCGATGCAGCAGCTGCAACAGAAACATCCGCCAGCAACTCCGATATGGAAGCAGGTAGCAGGCCTTGGCGAGCTGGTGCAAGCAGCAGCAGCAACAGCAGCAGCAACAACAACGGCAGCAGCAGCAGCAGTGATGGATCTGTAACGAGAAGAGGTACAGTGCAAGTTGTTGATGGAGATGGTACTGAGGTATACGCGCCGTTTATTTCGCGAGATTCATTTGCTGCTTTGCATGCAGAAGAAGTACTCTTACAAAGGCGACCCTCTAAACAACAAAGCATATTTGAATGCGGGGGCTCTGGTGAGTGCGCCGTCCCCTCGCAGCAGCAGCAGCAGCAGCAGCAGCAGCGCTGGTAGACAATTGCATTGTCAGCGCTTCGCTTGGTTTGAGCTGTACGTACACCCCACGCTTTCGGTGTTCCATGCATGATGGTGTATTCTCTGACGAGAGAGAGAAACAGAAATATATAAATAAATCCACAGACATACTATTATTAAGTTCAATGACAATATATTATTATTAGTAATTGAATTTAGATACAATAGAAAAGAAATGAAGAGAGCAAATAAAATGTCTGCATTTAGGCTGAGATGGAGAATATATTTGAATTAGTGGTTTGTATACAAAACAGCAAACAACAAATGAAGCAAATGTTACTCTAAATAGCAAAATACTAATCTGATGACGAATATTAAGACAAGACAAAACAAAACAATAAATAACAACCAAACAAAACCAGAAGAAACGCAAAGGGAAGCACTCAGTTCTATGCAGTTGTTTTTTCTATAGGAAAATCAGGCATATATATGACAGACAAAATTCATAAAACAAACTTCATTAATTTAATTAAGTCAAATAGAACCAAATAAAATTACAACGATGAAAACTCTAAACAGGATTTATGTTCGCCGCAGTTTCTGCTTCACTCTCCCTGACTCTCCCTCCTGTACGTACACCTAAACGGTAGCCAGATAATGCATGCATGCATTAATATTGCATGCATGCATTAATAGTTCGTGCATGCATTAACAGTGCATGCATGCACGTAGGCTGTATGCAGATGTCTGATGTGCATGCACTGCGTATCTTTATAGCGGATGCAGCATCTTAAAATTTTAAGAGAAGGGGAAAAAAATTTAAATTCCCATTATTCGCCCGTAGGCAGCAATGAAAATATATATACCGCTGACAGGAGGTATAACTATCTATCGATATATATATATATATATATGCATATATAGATGTGTATTATTATAAAGCATGCGATAGAAACATATTGGATACAAGTTCATGTAAGTGATATTATATATATATATATATATATATATATATATAATATCATTTATATTACCTAATATATATATAATGTGTATTATTTTTTCTGTTGTTGCTTTCTTGCGTCTCTTCCAAAGAGAAGGGACTGCCAGTAGAGCGGAGAAGCGAAGCATATTTACGGTGTACGTACACCGCGTATATTCACTGCATTTTTCTATTTAAAGAGAAGACTGAGATTGCTTCTCTGTTGCAGCCTGCTAAATCCTAAACCCTCAACTCATCAAACCCTAATAATAAACCCTTCTCTAAACAACAGCCTTATTATCTAAACCCTAATTAACGCTGGGCTCCCTTTGTTTGTATTTACTCCAAGACAAACAAACAACTCTGCGCTCCCAACTGAAAATAAATAATTCTTTGTCTCTGCATTTAGACAAAAATATTCTGCTGCGGTATATACACCCGGTCAGCTCTCACGAACAGCAACAAACAAAGGAAGCCCAACAGATTTGTATATATGCAATACAACAACACTTATATATATAATACATATATACATATATATATATTTTATATATATTATATATATTGAATATGTACATATTGTATATTATTATTATAATATGTGCATAATATATATACATATATTTATATTTATTTAAAGAGGAAGTCTGCAAGTTGAAGGAAGCACAGAAGGGGACCTTTAACTGAGGTGTATGTATGATGGATGCATTGCATGCAAATGGTGTATAATGATAGGCGGCAAGCATTAAACAAGTAATTATTCTGTTTGCTTGGTATAAAAGGCAGGTAAGGGTTTAAAATAGATAAAGAAGAGCAGCAGAGAGACAGCAGAACACGAAGAAGATCTGCAACTGTTGTGAGAAAAGAAGAAGACAGCAACAGTATAGGGTAGAGCTAGATAAACAGAGTAGAGGCATTAATGGAATTAATGCCTTTACTAATTGAAGGAAAATAAACAAATGCGTTATTTGAAAAGAGGGAGAGCCTCAGACAAACCAGAAAATGAATTAGGAATTGCTTCACAGCCGAAAATAAAACAAAACAGGCGAGAGCTGCATGCAGCCGCCTCTACCTGTAGGGAAGAATTAAGGAGTAATTTGTTATTTAAACAAAATAAAATGATTCACTCCATAAATATTAATAAAGTTTATACATATTTAATTAAAAACTCACGAGTAAATCTCAAATACTTAAAGGAATTGTTCGGGGCTTCTTGCAGAAACCGTATATGCATGCTTTGCTAGATATATGGACATTACGCTATAATTTGAGTGGTAACATCTCAACAAAACGTCTACTTTTTAAATAAAATCATTAGAATAAGTGTAAAAACATGAAAATTCTCTTTATTTTAGCTTCTTTATAGGCAGAGAGCTGCAGCTTCCCTTCCGCTATCATCGTTGCGGTGTACAGGCAGCTCCGTTCTACCTTAGCATTTTGCAGGTGTTGTGGTTGTATTATTTTCTTTCTTTATTGCATTCACATATAATAAAATAACAAAATAAATAAAATAACTTATTTATTTATTATTTTCACTTTCGTTTACCCGGTTCTCCCCACTAAAGCTGAGTTCTCCCTCCTGAACGCGTTGCAGAAGTCTGTTGAATATTTTGTGTTTTTCTTCGTTTTCTTCCTTATTTTTCTGCTTCTTTCACGATGATGTCTTCTAAAGTGTCCCGTCGTTTCTTATTTTCTTCGATTTCCCCGAAATATTACACCAGATTCCCCAGTAGCAGCTTCCTTCAGCAGCGCGAGTATAGCAAAGAGGTCCACGATCACTTCTTTAATCCGCGAAATGCAGGTAAATTAAATGCAGTAATTTATCTTCATCTTCTTTCTTTGATAAACACATTGGCGTTTATTTGACGTCTTTCTTGTTTTGTTGCTAAACCGTCTGTTCTTCAGGATGTTCGTATAATAATGTATTGGGTACAGCTTTGCTGATCGCCTGTGTGTTTTGTTATTTGAATGGGGCTTCTATCGGTTCTTATCAATTCTAACGAACACCTTCAAACCCTAAACCCTAAACCCTAAACCCTAAGGCGTGTCAGGAAGGAAGCTCTTAGCTATGCCATACAGTTCCGGTTTAGGGTTTAGGGTATAGGGTTTAGGGTTTAGATGTTTCTGCAGGCTCCTTTGATATGAACGACCCCGAGAACAAAAACAAAGTGGGGACGGCAATAGTGGGGAAGGCTGCATGCGGCGACGTTATAAAGCTGCAGGTGAGGTTTAGGGTTTAGGGTTTAGGGTTTAGGGTTTAGGGTTTAGGGTTTAGGGTTTAATGGTATCGACAGTAAACGAGTGAGAATCTGCACATTTATAGTATGAAAAACTGCGTCTGAAAGCCCTCTTATTCGCCTTCAGTGCTGAATGCTCATCGCTGAGTCTCTAGGGTTTAGGGTTTAGGGTTTAGGGTTTAGGGTTTGTGTTCAGGTGAAGGTAGAGGATGGGAAGATAACAGACGCTCGCTTTAAAACATTTGGCTGCGGGTCAGCGATTGCTTCGTCTTCATATGCGACAGAATTAATCAAAGGCAAAACGACGCAGGAAGCGCTGAAGCTACGCAACACAGATATTGCAGGTTTGTTTATATAAATATATATAAATATATATAAATATATATGTATATATTTGTATGTTCCTTTCTTTGTTTCTTTCTATTTATATTTATATGTTTATATATTTGTCTATCTATTTACTTATATATATATTTACATTTATTTGTTTATATATATATGTATATATGTTTATTGACATTAATACATATATCTATTTATGCATCTATATTTACATATACCTATCTATATTCTTATATATATATATATATACATCTATTTATTTATCAATTTACATTTATATATATTTGTTTATTTGTTTATTTATATCTTTTAATATATATATATATATTTATTTATTTATCTATTTATATATTTATTTATTAATTTATTTATATATTTATTTATTTATTTATTTATTTATTTGTGTGCAGCGCATCTGAATTTACCCCCTGTGAAAATTCACTGCAGTTTATTAGCAGAAGACGCAGTGAAGTTAGCGATCGACGATTATAACAACAAACAAACAAAAATAAAAGAATTTAAACAGTAAAATTAAAAATAATATTCATTTAAAATACTCGTCTTATTTCAGGGTGTCTGAGGGTGCCGAGCTAAAGTGCGGTGTATGTATGTAGCCAGCAGCAGCAGCAGCAGCAGCAGCAGCAACAGCAGCAGCAACACCAGCAGCGGGAGTAGCAGCAGAAGCAGGGGCAGCAGCGGAAGCAGCAGCAACAGCAGAAGCAGCAGGAGAAACAGCAGAAATAGCAGGAGCAACAGCAACAGCAACAGCAGCAGCAGCAGCAGCAGCAGCAGCAGCATTGCTGGTGGGGTTTCTTTCTGTTCTTTCTGCTGTTTGTTCCGTATTTTGTCTCTTCTCTTTTTTATTTTTCATCAAAGTAAAAAAGCAAAAGAAGAAGAGAGGCGTCGGCGGAGTTTATTATTTATTTTATGTGTAAATCGTCTGCTGTCCTTTCTTCTTCTTCTTTATTTATTTATTTATTTATTTATTATTTTGTTCTCTGTTTCTTTCTTTATTAGAGTTTGCGATTTTGATTATTAATTTTATTATTTATTCTGCTGTGTATATAAACCCTAAACCCTAAACCCTAAACAACGACTTACATTAATTTATTTCTCTTTCTTTTATTCTTTTGCTTACTCTTTTACTTATTCTTTTATTTATTCTTTTGTTTATTCTTTCATTCTTTTGTTTATTCTTTTATTCTTTTACTTGTTCTTTTATTCTTATTCTTTTATTCTTTTATCCTTTTACTCTTTTACTTATTCTTTTATTCTTGATTTTATACCGCAGTGTTTGAGGAGATCGATGATTAAGTTGAAGATTTTGCATTTATATATATTTGCTGCTGCTGACGCATTTAAATAAACTTTTATTTATTTATTTTCTTTGCTTTTCTTTTATTCTTTTTTATATCTTCTTCATCATTCGTTGAAACAGCAGCTAAGGTATTTATTTATCTGTGCCGTTGCTGCTGCATATGAATTTGATTAAACAAACAAAAATTATTTTACTTCATTTTATTTTATTCTTCTTCTGCATTTACTCACTGAGGTGTACGCGCACCTACAGAAATTCAAATAGACAGACAACCCAGCTGTAGTTCTAGACATGATTATATATATATATAAATC